AAACTAACCGTAACACTAGACTTTTCACACTTTCACCTCATTCGATTATGGTTCGACGTGAAAGGTATTCATCACTGGGTTTGGTTTTGGGGAGACACAAATGGGTGTCTACACTACCGAAGATTGCTTCTCTTGAAACAATCCCCATCCGCATTGATAATATTCCACGTCCAAGGGAATACTATCGAAGATTGCTTCTCTTGAAACAATCCTCAGTTGTTTGTGACAACTCTCCACAATCTAGGGAACACCATCTTGCTGCTTGTTTTGACGATCTTCTGCAATCTAGGGAACGTCGTCGATCAACGTTGCTACATCTCGAGCCTTTTCTTGAATCATAGTGACAACCTTTCCAATCATAGCAAAAGTCTTCGAAGACCGCCTCATCATGAACCACTCTTCTCATATCTTGGTGACAACCTCCACAATCTTAGCGAACGTCGTCGAAGACCGCCCATCTCGTGCTATCTTCTCAAATCTTGGGTGACAACCTCCACAATCTTAGCGAATGCCGTCGAAGACCGCCCATCTCGTGCTATCTTCTCAAATCTTGGGTGACAACCTCCACAATCTTAGCGAATGTCGTCAAAGACCGCCCATCTCGTGCTATCTTCTCAAATATTTGGTGAACACTTCCACAATCTTAGTGAATGTCGTCGAAAATAACTTTACTTGAAGTCATCCTCAGTTGTTGCGATAATATTCCGAAGAAAATTACCGAAGACCAACACTTGTCGATCTTTAAAGCTCGCTCAAACTTTGCTTCTGCTATGCCTGTACGTCGGCGCTTTCGTTGCTTTGAACCTATACATCGGTGTCTTTTCTGCTTTTGAGCCAATGCTTAGGCGCTTTAAGCTAAGTGAGACGATCTTTCATCAGGTCGATCACTTATTTGCCGTCGTAATCAAACCGACTACTTAATCATGTCAAATTGCTTATAGGGGCTAACTGGCGTACCAAGGAACCCGAAATTGTTGTATGAGGTCGAAATTACCTTTCTGATGAGAGGCTTCGAGCTCTGTTGCTGCTGAAATATCTCTGGCGCCAAGAATTGACTCTGTCGCCGAACGCTGTGATAGGGTCTTCCCTGTTCTGCTACGCCTTTATTTATTTTTACTATAGTTTTTTTGCCAATCCCTTTAATTATCTTAGGGTTGACCTAAGGTTTAGCATTGCTTGACTCATTGACTTGACACGACTTAAGGCATAAACTTGACTCAATATGATTGACTGACTCGAGGTTGACTCGACTCAAAATGTTTGACACGTGTGTTAGACTCAAATTAAAGTAAAATGACACGTGTGAATCGTGACCCGTGTGTGCATAGTAATGTGATCGTGCAACTCAAAAATGCAAAAAAGCAAAAATTTTCCGTCATTTTTGTGGAGGGTACCGACTTTCTCCCAAAAACGAAAGACATGAAAAGGAATCGAAGTGAAGTTTGAAGATGCATGTTGAATGAGCTTAGTCAAATGTCGTTTGATGCTATCTCTCAAGGTGCAAGGATTAACCCATCCTAGGCTATCTCAACTGTTGACTCCATGATGAAAGTATTTGGGTAACTTAGGCACGGAGGCTAAGTACTTTATACTTCAATGCAATGATGATTATGATTGATGAGTGATGTTGATATGACAAGGCATTCTTCAATGTTGTGTTAAGATTTCATGATAAAGGGTTCCTAAGGGAAGTATATTTGGTCATGTATCTGTGCAGTGTGTGAAAGTGACACTAAAGCTAAGCCACAAGAGCTAAGTGTGTGGAAAAAAATATTATTTAAAAGAGTCAAATGGTGGTGACTCTTAGGCTAGGTAAGCTAATGATGTAAGGATCAAGCCCCCAAGTCTAGCTCTAAATGAATAGGGATGAGCATAGGAAATCCCTAGACATGATCATGGTGTAATTAAGTGTGTGAACGTGATTATGAATGCATTTTTATTACGGCCGCACCTCGATGTGAGGTTGCCTACGTATCCGTTAAGAATCAGGCCGAACGTAGCTCTAGCCGAACCTCGCACAAGTGTATATACCTCAAAAAGGTCTTTTTAAGGGTTGTAACGTGGTTAGGATAAAGGTTGAAGAAGAAGGGGATAAAAGGCTCAAGACCCTAGATAAGCCCCCAAGGTGTGCAACCTTGCTTTTGAATCTTTATATTTATGCTTGAGTTCCTACTCTTTTTTAGCTCTCTTTTATCTTTTGCTTTAGCATCCATTTTATTTTTATAAGTGTAGGCAATCCCGATCATGCGGTCTATCACTCACTTGGCATTCATGTTTCTCAGGCACGGTACCGAGCACTCGATAAGAGACGCAATCTGAGACGTGTTCTTATCAAAGATATTTTCATATCAAAGACATTGGAACACTTTCCCTTTTTGTACACTTTTATTTATTTTTTTGCTATTTTTGCTATCTTTTGAATTACTCAAGCCTTTTTAGAATTGCATAAGTTACACACCATCCCATCCCAAGGTTAGGTAGATGTAGGTTGAAAAAAGAAAGGTCTATCGTTAGACAAAGCTCAAAGTGGTTTATGAAGAAAAGATTGTAAATTTGAAAGGTGAAAGGAGATATGATGTGGCTACAAGGGGTGCCTTAAATCATTGGTATACCTTGTGCTTAATTCAACTTTTTTTTTTTTTTTTTTTTTTTTTTGCAATGTAATGAAATTAAATGATCATATATAAGGAAATAAATGCTCATTTTATTAAAAGAAAATAAAGAATCTACAAAATTAATCTAAGGAAAGGAAAAGGTGCCTATGCTAGACTTATTGGGGAAAGAAAAAAAATGAAAAAGAAATAGAAAAAGAGGTCACGAAATCTTGTCGTTGAAGCTCGACTCTTGTCTTGTGTTGTTTCCTTTATCATCACTTGCTCTTCTTGTTAACTGGAGGCATGGGAAGCTTGTTATTATCAATCATATGTTGGATAGCCTCCTTTAGCTTCCAACAGCTCTCAGTAGTATGACCCCTACCTTGATGGTACTTGCAGTGTTTGTCTGGATTCCAACTAGGCAATCTCTTGTCAGGAGTAATGAGTCCTTTGGCATGGATTCAATCGAAGGTAGTATTGTAGCTCATCCCAATGGGGGTGAAGTCTTTCCTTAGTTTCTTCTTAGATCCTTGGTTATCTATGGCTAAAACTTCACTGAGATCAAAGGTACTAACATTGTTACTAGAGTGGGCATTTTCGGAAGAAGAAGGATTGTCGCTCTTCTTTCCTTTCCAGCCACCATGGTTCCTATTGTTAGTAGCTTTTTGCTTTGCGATGTCATCTTCGATTTCAATTCCGATGTCATAAACGGCCTTGAAAGTATTCAAATTGTGTTGATATTTTAAATGCTTCGAATACTTCTCTTGGAGATTCTTTATAAACATCCTCACAGACTCCTTTTCGGTGGGGACCTCAATCATCTTAGCGGAAGTTTCCCTCCATTTATTAAAGAAAAAAGTAAAGCCTTCATTCTCTTTTTGTCTTAGCATCTCAAGTTGTCTATGGTCGGTTTCAACTTGAATATTGCACTTGTACCTATCAATGAAAGCGTTTATTATCGATTCCCGGGTAGAGGTTTTCTCTTTATCAAGGGAGAAGTACCATTGTTGGCAAACGGTTTCAAGAGATAGTGAGAACAGAGAGGGGAAAACTTTCTTATCGATACTCTTAATGTTCATTATGTTTTCAAAAGCTCTTAGATGAAAGTAAGGATTATCCGTTGCCCTGAATTTAGGGATGTCAGTGGCGTTGAACTTATGCGGAAGAAGTTCTTTGTCCAGCGAGACCCCTTATGATGTAAGCCCTTGAAACTTGTAGTCGCTAGACAGCTTGCTTAGACTATCTTGCATGAGGTCCATCTGTTGTTGCTTCACGGGATCATCGATCTTGAGTGCGAGAAGATTCAGTGTCTCAGTCATGGTAACCAGTTGGTTCCTAAGATCATTGACTTCTTCTTGACTTGCCATTATCAGTTTATCAAAAAGTGAGACTTGAATAAAGGTGTTGTCCTTGATTAATCGCCCTTCTCTCCTCGACCAAGTACTGTGGAAAAGGAATTTGGGGATATTCATTGTTAATTATTTAACTCAGACTCTAGTCAACATGCAATGGAAGGAGGATGTGAAGAAAAATGGAATAGAATGTGAAAAAGAATGATGGAGGTGGAGGGATATGAAGAATTAGGAATAGAATATACCCCCAACTTAAATGACGGGAAAAAACCGACTCATGCATGAACCTAAGACATGGTCATGGTGATGTGTACTCAAAGTATGTGCTAAGACTAGTGAGTGTAGGTGACATGTTAGGACTCTTGTCATGACCATGTGGCTAGACTATGTGACTAGACTCAAGCAAAGACTGAGTTAAGACTTCACATATATGCATTAAACTGGACAGACTGTGGTATTTTAGTCATAACTTTTTATCTGTGACTCTATTTGGATGAAACCAACGCCAAATTAAAGATAAAACTCGGGTCTACAGATCCATAGGTTGTACGACTCGTAGTTCTTTCTAGAACTCCGGCTATGACCAAAACAAGTTGACGCTTGTGCAGTATACGGGAATAAAAATGCGGGTTGACTTAAAGGAACTATGACTCGATTTTAGGTATATTTATTAGCTCAAATTAATTAATTAATTAAACAAAGTATTTTAGTCATTAATCAGTTTATTTAGTCTTAACACAAGTCAAACAAACGGTTAGGAAAAATCACATAGAGTATGCACAACAAATAATGCACAATTAGCCAAATAGGCACAATATGATGCAATGAGTTTGCAACCTAACCATGGCTCTAGTTCTCTAAAGTTCGGGATATGGTTTAGTCAATAGAGGTTCCATGGTTAATTGTCCGGATGCACCACGCGGAAGCCTAACCGTGAAGGGTTGGCGCGAGTGGATGGGACACCACGAGCTTTAGAAAAAACTCGCTTCCATGGTTTGGTGAATTCAACATCTCGGATGTACCCTTTGTTGCACGGAGCACAAATGTTTGGTAAATGTGGAGGTGGAGTAACTGTTATGTTTTAAACAGAAGAGATGAAATCCCTATTGATATAGGGGCCTTTATTCGTATACAGAAAGATGAGGTATTTCGCAGCTTAAATAGTCAAGAAGATGCTCCTTATTCTAGGCAAGTGAAGCAGCAGCATATCTCGTGGCAGTCTCCAAGTTCGTTGCGGATGGTGTGTGCTTAATTAATTGTGATGGTACTGCTAAAGGGTGCCCAAGGCCGGGCTAGCAGGGGGTGGAGGGATCATCAGAGATCACGAAGGCAATCTCATACATTTCTAGGTTCTCTGCTAATTTTTTGTCGTTGTGCAGCCTTCTGAAGTCTTAGCTCTAACCTGAGGTCTTGAACTAGCTAAAAACATGCAGATTGAACAGCTAGAAGTGCAGTTAGATAATCTTGTGTACATTATTCAAATCCTAAGGCAGGGGAAAGCTCAAAATGGTGAGAAAGTGCATGAGTTAAATTGATGCTTGGGGATGCTAAATAATGATAGTTGGGAAGTCAAAGTAGATTATGTTTATCGTGAAGGAAATCGCACGGCGGATTGGTTGGCCAATCTCGGAGTCTTTCAAGACACATATTCTAAAATTCTTTATTATATTCCTTTACGTCTTAGTAGTATTTAGAGGAGGATGTTAGGGGAGTGGCTTTCCCTCGCCTAGTACCTCCGTAGTTTTTTCTGTTTTGTTTCTGTTTTTTTTAATTATTATTTATTATTTTTTTTTTTGCTTTCTTATTGTTTTTCTTGTTTTTTCTTGGCTTTACCTCATTTGAATTAAAAAAAAAAAGTTTTAAAATTTTAAATTTTGATTGTTAACAATTTAAAGTCATTGATGTTTTTTCCCCTTGTGTAGTTTTTTTTTTTTTTTTTTTTTAATACTGTATAAGTTATTTGATAAAACAATTGTCTAAAATACCCCAATCTAATAGGGTTATCTTGACTATATAATAGAGATTTGTTATTAAAAAAAAAAAAAAAAAAAAAAAAAAAAAAAAAAAAAGATGTTAAGTTAATGAACAAATGGGGTTATATTGACGTATATGGATTACATAAATGAGAAAATAGGGTTACTCTATTAAATAAGTGGAATTATTCTTTCATTAGTTAAAACAAAGTACTACCTCCATTAAATGTTATGTGCAACTTTGGGATATTATTTGTGAGATATAAAATATTCCAAATTTGCATATAACATTTAACTGAGGTAGTATAAGGGTTACTTTTATTGCTTGATATTACTTGTATAATAAATTAAGGGCTTTCATGGACAAAAGGGTTACTTACATGAGTAAATAAGTGAATATAGATTACTCTTCCTGTCATACAATATATATATATATATATATATATATATATATATATATATATATATAGGAGGGATCCGGTGAGAATAGGTTCATATGTGAGAATTCATACTTATATGAGAACTAATTTAAAATTTAGAACATGTGAGTAAAAATTTAGAACATACGAGTTAAAATTTAGAACATGTGACTCAAATTAAAATTTTGAACATATGAGTAATAATTTAGAACATTTGTGTGAGTAATATGTTTAGAACATCTGATTTAAGAACTAAAACAAGTGATTAAAAATTTATAACTTTGCTTTATGAAATTTTAAACATATGAGTAAAATTTAGAACATTTAATTTAAGATTATGAACATGTGAATAATAATTTCAAACATACTGATATAGAATATAGAAAGTGTGAGTAAAGAATTTAGAACATACGCTTTAACATCTAGAACATATAATTAAAAATCTTAGAACACACGTTTTAAAATTTAGAATATAAAAGTTAAAATTTTGGAACAAGTTATTTAAAATTTATGACATCAAGCTTAACTAATTTATGGTTTAGAACATGTGAGTACTAAATTAGAACATTTGATTTAATTTAGAACACCTAAGAAAAAGCTTAGAACATCATATTTAAAATTTAGAACATACGAATAAAAATTTAGAACATAAAGAGTATTCTCACATAAGAAAAATTCTCATATAAGAAAATTTCTCACGAGAGTCTTCCCCTATATATATATACTAGTTTTGTGCCCATGCGATGCCCGGGTTGTTTATTGAATTTTAAGATTAATTTTTAATCTATATGTCAATTTTTAAAACATATCATTGATACAAATTTAGTAAGGAAATTATGTGTTTTAATTTTGTGACAATTTAAACTATGTAGTAGGCATGTAATGACTAATAATAATAATATTGGTAAAAACATTCTTGACCCGTAACCTGAAAAAATGACCCTGTCCGAAATGACTCGTGATCCGACCTGATTGATGGGTAGGTTTACACACAGTAATAAAATTATATTAGATTTTGAAGTATAATTGTTTTGATTAGAATATATTATAAATAATAGATGTGGTACATTTTGAACTAATTCCTTCGCTCCAAAAAAATATTATGATACAAAAAATAAAATTATATGATAAATTATGAGAGTTATAATGTAATTATTTTTTGAATAAAATTATAATTCAATTTGTAAATATTGGTATTTTATCGAAAATAAAACTCTAAATTAACATTTTATCTTAAAATTCTATCCAAATTTGATTGAAAATAGAATTCTAAAAGAACTTTTTTATCCTACAAATTGAATTTGTATAACTCTATCCTACATGGCGCGACACTTGGCAAAAAATTAGAACGCCAAGTGTCGCAGTCTCGTCGCCTGGCTAAAAGTTTAGTTTTATATATGAGTTATTATATGATATATATATCATATATATATTAGTTATTATATGATATATATATCATATATATATACACACACTATTAACCAAGACTATAATAAAACTAATAACTAATCTAGGCTATTAGATCATGTTAATCGGACGGTGAACATGTTTTCCGTGTCATTAATGGTAACCAAGTTATACTGATAACCAAGGCTATAATAAGAACTAAGAACTAATCTAGGCTCTTAGATCATGTTAATCGGACGATCAACATGATTCCCGTGTCATTAATGACATTTTCGTAATATTCCAACTTTACAAAGTGATTACACACAAGATTGACTTCTTGAAATTGTTGTATAAATCAATGTCCTGCAGGCAAGCCATTTCTGGCGGCCTTGAAACCTCCTAAGGGTTTTGAGACAGTAGAATCAGCTTATCCAATAGGATTCGAGGACAAAATAGCAGGAAGGGGAATCATACACGGTGGTTGGGTGCAACAACAATTGATCTTGCAGCATCCTTCGGTGGGATGTTTCATAACTCACTGTGGGATCGGGTCTCTATCCGAACCCATGGGAAGCCAATGTCAAGTGGTGTTGATGCCTCAAGCTGTCGACCAGTTTGTAAATGCGAGACAAATGAGTTTAGAGTTGAAGATAGGAGTCGAGGTTGAGCCAAGCGAGGATGATGGTTTTTTCACTAAGGAAGCCGTCCAAAAGGCGATATCCATGGTGATGGATGAAGGAAGTGAAGTTGGTGCAGAAGTTAAGGCCAACCATGCTAAATGGAGAGAGTTCATTTTAAAGGATGGTTTAGAAGACTCTTACATCAGTAGTTTCATTCAGAGTTTACAACAAATGCTTGAATGAACTTAGTATACGTAGTATATTCTATTGTTTTCAGAATGTACCACGTATTACCATGTACTTGTTTCAAGAAACTCGGTTATAGCAAACAAAAAAGGAATAGTATTACATCGGAAAATTCCCTGTTTCTCATTGTGAGAAACGAAATTTGTTTCTCATAAGGGCATTTCTCATAGGGCATTTTCCCTATTACATCAACTGTATTTTCCCTTAAAAATAATATTTCCTTCAAATTTTTTTTCGTTAATACAAACTAAGCCTATGTGTGAGAAATGCTGATGACATGCTTAATAAATGAGGCTTTCCTAGGACTCTTGTGAGTTTTGCTACTAAGTAATACGAAGGATAGTGTTGCAAAGCAACATCTCCAGGCTTTTACTAAGATTGACATTTGTAGATTCCTAACTCTAACCATTTTCAAAGGTGGTCATGGCACACCACCAGGTTTTACTAAAGCTAGCATGATAAAGGAACGTTTTAAGGTCAATGACATAATGGCGCAACGTGTATAAGTGTATAGGCTCAAATTCGACCGATCATGGCAAAAGCAAACGAGCCGGAAGAACTGGCCTTGGATAAGAGCTGGCCGACTATTATAGTATGATAATGTTCATATCACCAATGCAATTAGCTATTATCCTAGGTTATTTCAACTTATATTATCTTATCTTATCTTATTAAAATTTATTAACTCATATCTTATCCGAACTAATGCATCCATACATTATCTTATTTGAACTTGTTAACCTTATTCAATCAAAGATACGGTTCTCGCACAAAAAGGAAACACTATATTGTCTGAAGTTACAAGAAAAAAATTTCTCTTCCATACATAGAAAATATGATTTACATCTTTGAAATCAAGAAAGAATCATAAATAAGCCTGGCTTACAAAAGGATTCCTAGATGCCAAGTGCCTAACCCCTGTAGACCATTTAGGTTCTAATATACATGGCCGATTATATGTAAGTAAGTAACGCACGGCCCGAGAAAGGATGGCACAGCACAAATATGTATAATCTTGCAATTGTAAAGACCATGGGAGTTCTTGATTGTTCTGCTGTTCTGCTGTTCTGCACAACTATTCATATACATTTGTAGATTTGTATGGCTGTCATTGTATGACCAGTATGTATCTCAAAATTGACTCATCAGTTGCTTTGTTGATCAGGTTGTTTGTACATGTCAATCCAACACTTAGAATTCTTCACTGCATCATTCCATCTTTGACTGAACACCTGCATTTCGATGAATGACTGTTTCCGCACCTATAATTTATGAATAATCTCTGTATTACTATATACACTAGAGAGCAATGTAGGGAAAATCTTTTTCTAGTTACAGTGGGAATCCGATTTATAAAATTTCATCAATGGAGTAGTTCTACTTTTAACAGGTCAAACAGCAAAGAATTCTAATTCAAGAAATGAAAACAACAAACTGTTATGTTATAAGAAGATCAAAAAGATGCTCAGACATAATTAGCAAACCATTTAATAGAATCCATAAATTGTACTTGACAGGATGAGATGATGAATACAAGATAAAACTTACAGCAGGTCTATTATCAACTCTTAGTGTCTCAGATGATTCCTGCAAATCAAAAAGATGAACTGATTGTAAGAAGGGTGGATTTGATCAGCAGAACAAGAAAATTAATATGAAGATTCACCAGCCACTAAATATAAATAGTCGTCGCATAAATCATATGCTCACCAAAGTGGTGCTACTAATCCAAAATGGAGATATTATTGAAATAAATTGAGAACAATGCATTTGCTTTCTCTCCCTTGATTTTTGAGCATGCATTCATTGCAATGTTAAACAATTCCAGTAGATATTTCTAATAGTAGTTAAGAATGTCTATGTTATCCTTATCCAAGAACTACCAAGTGGGCAAGCAAATAGGCATAAAAATGCAATTAAACTATTGTAAGGAAATATATATTACCTCAATAAAATCCCAAAAGGATCTTCGAAGTGAAGAAATTTTGGATTTCTTATACATGCAACTATGTAGTTACATATTTTTAGTGATGGGTTTTGTGCACAAAAAAAAAAAAAAAAAAAAAAAAAAAGAAAAAAGAAAAAAGAGAGAGAGAGAGAGAGATGATGCTTACAACATTGGAGTAGATCTATAAATACAAAAATTCTAACTTACAAGAGGCCCAAACTGATGTAACATATAAAATGAGACTGGTTCAACAAATGATAGTAAAATATAATCAGGTATATATGGTCAGTTCAAGAAAAAGAGAGAGATCAATGATCAAGTGAACAATGTTATGCCATTCAGTTTAGTAACTGAAAAGAAAACATAAAAAAATTCAAAGCATAAACATACCCAAGTAATCTCATTGTTCTAGAATGAAGACAAACTGCAGTTTGAAGCAGCAAAATTGCTTTCATATTTGCAATAATTTGAGCAATAACTGCAAACAATAATAAACAGAGTATGCACCTTGATTCGGTCCAAGACTCCAAGCGTGGGAAGTCCAAGATGAACAATGTACTCGGAATCCACAACACCGACTTTCTTCGTTCTATCACCCTGAAATACGTACCCAATATAATCAGCAAGCAAGAGACAGTAAATAAGTGAAAATCATGTAAAAACTGAAAAGAAAATTGCCAAATGGGAGGAGGTATGGGTGATGGAGAAAATTGGTTACCTGTGCACAATAACCAAGTTGTCTATCCAAGCCCCAAGCATGTATCAGATCATTCTGCACGGTATAAAAGTTATGTTTTAGTTCATTGCCCGAAAAAACTAGATGAGGTATTAAAACAACCCTGCCACCTATAGATTTAATAACCTCAATTTTATGTTGTAAATCACAATTTATCTCTTCCAAGAGAAGCAATATTGTGTTTAAAAGTATAATTAGAAAATTTCAAACAATAAGTATTTATTAATGAAACTTGGATTGCAACATAATATTTTTCAAGCTACAACAATTCAAAACTAGCAAAGAAAAAAAATATATAAAAAGAAAACATTAAACTTTGAAGTGCATGTGTTAAACTTCAAATAAAGCTTGTATTTATATTTCTTTCAATCATGTTGGTAGCTTGTTTAAGCTAGTAGCAATATATTTTTATTTTAAAGCAAGAAAGTGTTACTATTTACTATTGGTGTTATTCCCACAGCGAATCTAAAAGCACTGATAAATGATATGATAATTTTTAACATCTTGATTTAGATGTGCTCGTTAAGTTTTTTGTTCGTAACTATAATCTTAGTTTATATATTGTATCAGCAGAAATTGCTAATTCCCCCACGCAGAAATTTGGTATTCCAGCAGAAAGCATACCTGGACCATGTACCATACACATCGCCAAGCTGCTTTTGAGAAGGCTGGTGCCATCATTTCCACCCAGCTGCATCAGCAATTTCAAAAATAATAAACTTAGTAAAAAATCTTTGCACTTCCTCATCAATAATGCAAAAGCAATTCATTTTTCATACAACACAACAAGTTGATACTAATAGTTGCATTCATACTAGCCAAATTGCATAATCCAATATGCTTACCCCGTGCATGGCGGAGCTGTGCTGTTATCATCACACCTTCCGCTTCCTTTTGTTTTGTAATATCTCCTGCTCACAAAGGAAAAAATAAAGACTCAATGTATATCCAACCTATTGCATAATGTACATCATCCTAATTTTTTCACTTGACCAATGAGGCAAACTAGTATGAACATTAGCACCCATCTGCCACATTGGTGTAAAATTTAGCAACATGTTAAACAATTACGAACACCCCCCCCCCCCCTCCCAAGACAAAAAAAAAAAAAAAAAAAAATCAAAATCTACTTTTTCGCTTTGCTATTATTCATCTTTTTTTTTTCCCAAAAAATTTCTTAGTTTTTTTTTTAAATTATTTTCTTTTACTTTGTGTGTTGTAAAACTTACTATTTCCCTTTATTTCTACTTATTTCTATCATATTCGATCCAAAATGCAAGCTCGATTATGCTCTACAATTCCCATCAATATTATCTGTATAAATGTTGGATCAGGGAATTGGTGTTGCAGAAGTGGAGGCAGAGATGATGGGTATGTGTGATGGAAATGGTAAAGTTGTAGTGCAGAGAAGTCTGTCTGTCTTTCTTCCCACTGATAAACCGAAATTCCAGGGGTGTCGTGACTTTGGAGAAACATAAATGCAGTACGATTAATCTTACAAATCAAACCGGTAGTGTATACACTTTCTAGTCAAAGAGGCAAATAGCATTCATTTCACAATATTCTTCAACCAAACAAATGATATCTAATTCTAGTGTGGACCCTAGCCTAATAGGCCAAGACAATAGTATGAACCTAGTTATGAGAAGGCAAAGCTGTGAAAATCGAAATCAATTTGGAGATACCTAAAAGGAAAAAAAATAAAACTTTCTATGAAATGAAGAGAACTTATATTATAATGATGAATTGCAGCATGATAAAACCTGATAGGCCCCTGAAGTCAAGAATCCCATTACTCACATAATGTTTTGTGATGGAAGAGAAATTTATTTTGAAGCCTTTGGATTATAAGAGATGACCTTAGAATTTAAGAGCTCCTTCTCAGCATTACTTGAAATGGAAAACATTGTCAGTGGATAACATATCCAACTAGCTTGCCACAAATTCTATTACAGGTTTCCTTTACTATGGAGCTCAACCTCTAAAAGTATATTTTGACAAATGGAAAAAGGTTTTTTCAGCTTAGGTAATTGTATAAACTATTTTACTTTGAAACATAAACAGCATGTAAATAAAGATTCTCGAATTTTGTGGATTTGAAAGGTATTACGCTTATAACAAATATTTTAATAATGATAGCATAGCTCAAAATAGAGGCTAAACTTATAAAAATTATAGGGAATTCAATGTATCATTTTGGAACTAAGGCTTTGTTGTTGTTGTTGTTGTTGTTGTTGTTGTAGTATAGGGAATATAATATACACTTTGTGGGATAGGAGGATAACAACAGATTTTGGAAATAAATAGGATGTAAAAGAAAACCAAATGGGTGGAAATTAGATTAAAAGAGCAATGCATAGCAAGTGCATACAGTCCACTACTCCAGTAAAAATATAGTTGTAGTG